GAATGACCATTGTGTTTTCTTTTAAATTTTTCTCATAATTTATTATCGTATTATATTTCTACTGCATTTTTTCCACTTTTTTTTTGCTCTTTTTTCTTTAAGATAAATAGCTCTAGGAATGATGATAATGATTATCACCAATGATTATCTATAAAATGCATATCCGATATTGTTTCATTCAGACAACCTTTGGATATTTGCAGAAGGCAAAAATCATTTATTACAAATTAAATAAAGTAATTAGTGTTGAAATGATTTGTTTTAGAAAATGCAGCTGTATAGTAAAAAGAAATTTTTATCGTTGCTATAAAAAGAAGAAAATTTTAAATGATATACGTTTTGATCAAAATTTTGTTCAATCTAATTTCAAATGCATATTATTACTAATTGATATTTTTATTATAATTAGATTATGGTATTCTTTTAATTTACTTTTACATTCAGTAATTGATTTTATAATTTATTAAATATTTGAAAATATTATTTTAAGTGATGCGATATGTGTAAATGTAGCTGTTTGTATTAACCGATAATTTCTCCGCCGTTTTTCAGCAAATTTAGCAATTCATTTCAAAAATTGAATAGGCAAAAAATTTAAACCAAATTTGACAAATTGATTATCACAATTATTGCAGAGAATGGTTAATTGTCATCGATGTTAATATTATCGATATGTGTAAATGTAGTTGTACGACATGATTTCGCCTTCGTTTTCTGCAAATTTAGTAATTCATTCCAAAAAATTGAAGAGGCAAAAATTTAAGCCTAATTTGTCAAATTAATTATTACAATTATTGCAGAAAATGATTAACTGTTATCGATTGTTAATATTATCGATATGTGCAAATGTAGTCATTTGTATTAACCGATAATTTCTTCGCCGTTTTTCTGCAAATTTCGCAATTCATTTCAAAAATTGAAAAGGCAAAAAACTTTAAACCTAATTTGTCAAATTGATTATCAAAATTATTGCAGAGAATAGAATGAAGGAAAAAAAAGAAAAGAAAGAGTAATCCTTAAAAGTGCTGACAAATTGCTTCGTTACAGATGTCATGATTTCTTCTTTATTTACATTAACATTTTCGGCGAAAAACTTTTACAACTACTTTCCTTTTTTTTTTTTAAAGGCTAACAACATTGATGGCTGGCATCAACGTTGAATTAGAGACATCATTTATTCATATTATTTGAATTATTTTGATTTTTGACGAATTTCATTTCAAATCTTTATTTTGTTATTTCAAATAATTCATGTTGACAAATTTCATTCGTTATCATTTCGAAATAAATACTACTTGTTAAAATGATGATTGAACTTTTTTTTTTAAATATTTCTTTATGCTAAGGTTTAATATAAAAAATCATTTTGTTGTTATTTACAATTTGCATTTTGATAAATTGAAAATATTTTTAATTAAGGTTTGAAAATGGGTTTTTTTCAAAATAGAAATTATTTCAGTTGAAAATTTATTTGAATAGAAGAAATAGTAAGATAAGATGATTGCACCTGTATGGCATAATCAATTTATTAAAATTTCCCATATTAATCAACGATTTTTAATCAAAATTGTCTGCTGCAGTTCGATTATTACCTGTATCTTTTGTATTACAAGTAAGTGATTGATAATTTGAAGGAAAAAATTTTGGCATAACTTATCAATTTTTTACAAAAACTTTTTAATTTTTTATTTAAATATTTACATTAAAATCGAATAGAATATTGTATTAATAAGTTCCTCAGATGTTTTCATTCTTTTGTTTCGTTTAATTATAGTGATTAATAATTTAAAAGAAAAGTTTTAACAAAACTTATAAATTTTTTACAAACTTTTTAATTTTTTATTTAAATATTTACATTAAAATCGATTAAAATATTGTATTAATAAGTTCCTAAGGTGTTTGCATTCTTTTGTCTCTTTTATATTGTATTAATAACTTCCCAAGGTGTATTGTATTAATAACTTCCTAAGGTGTTTGCATTCTTTGTCTCTTTTAATTATAATTATGAGAAGATTGAAATAAAAAATAAAATAATTAGGGAAATCTATCATATCTTATTTGATTGAATTTTGAATCGATTTATAATTTATTTGATTAAATTAAAAAAAATATATTTAAAGGTACATGTACAAATAATTGGTTATATACAACGGAAATTTTAAAGTATTACGTACATCCAAATGATACTATTACAAGTGGCAACGAAGATATTTTAGATCAAACTGTTTATTACAAAAATGCAACGCTTGGTCCATGGCTGTTTTGTTGGCTTGATCGTTTGTGATATTCATTTTTCAATTAAGCTATACCTTAATTATTTGACTAATTAAACAAATAATATTGAGAATCAATTTATTTGCAAACTATGAATCATTACTATTTTTAAATATGTTATCTTTTGCTGTCATTGAAATTTACATTATTTAAATATGTGTAATTAAGTTAAAATTTAAATTTAAAATTTTAAAATATTTAGCTGCAACCGATTTTCATTGTACAAAAATTAATTATTTTACAACAGATGAGCCATACGATGTTACAACTGCTGTTGAATGTAAGTTGTTTGTTTTATTATTAAGGATATTAATTCTCGATGAATTGATCAAATTTGCCATAAAACTGGAGTTAAAATTAAAGCTTACCCAAATAAAAAATTTTAAATTTAGATTTAAGCAAGTTTAAATGAAAGTTAAAACAGAAGTTAATTAAGCATGATCAATCTTTTTGTTTTTTTTTCCACTTTATTTTTCAACTTTCCATATAAAAGAATTATTTAATTTCAGTTGCAGTGCATCGTTCATTCATCTTTATGATTTCCGGTGCTGTATTAATTATTTGTGGTTTAATTAATGCTATAATATGTTATTTTCAAGAATGGCCTTATCATTCTCTTATGTGTTGTTCCGTATTACATATTTTTTCAGGCAACAATAATTTTAGATTTATATTTAATTTCGATAAAATATTTATGTATACGTAAAATACCTAATCAAATGATAATAATTATTTGTAAATAATTTTTTGGAAAATTTCAAAAAAAAAAGTTTCAAAGTTTTTAAAAACTTTTTTCAAATTTTTAAAAGCAAGTTCAGTTTTTTTGAAAAACGAGGTTTTTAGGAATGGCAAATTTTGCATGCATAATTGCATATATGGCTGCTGTATCAAAAGAAGTTGGCAATAAAATTTATGCTGCCTCCAAAATAGATGATCCACTCTTTCATTATTCATACGGATATTCCTTTATTATGCTTCAAGTAACATTCATAAATTAAATTTTTTGAATATCAATAATTTAAAAGAATATAAAATGGAGGATTTCTTTTTCAGATTTCATTTTTGGGCAATGAATTTGTTGCATTATTTTCGTTGGTTGTTTATATGGCTAAACGTGATGAACGTATGTTTAGCAAATATCGTATCAGGTTTATTTTCTTTTGAATTTTTACAACTTTGTTATTAAATTTTACACGTGCATAAATTAAAAGGTTTAAGGCTTTAAAATGTATCTTTCAAATTTATCTTTTAGGCTTTCAATTTATGAAAACTTGCCAATTTTCAGATCTCTGACAGATAAAATGAATGAAATAGATTCGCTAAAAAAATATTATTGTTGGTATCATACAAAGTATCATCGATCAAAGTGCTATCACAATATGCCTTAATTTTTTTTTCATTTTCTATAGAAAGATTTTTTACATGAATTTTGATTTTAAGATTCAAATACAGCAAATTTCAAATTAGATTAAGCTTTCTGAATGAAGCTTTTTGGATAATTCAATCAAAAATCTGCTACCATACTTGCTCCTTCAACACAAAACAATTCATCAGAATGCTCGTCAGAGTCATAAATCAAAGAAATTTCAGGATTACATCCGAATTTCTAAACAATGATTATGCAATCAACGAAAAATCAATTGCTATTATTGATGCATAAGGCGAAAAAAGATGTACATTATTTTAAATTTGAATGAGGATATTTCTCGTAACTTATCATTTGGTGTATTTCCCGAAATCAAATTTATGATTTGGTGTATTTCCTGAAATCAAACTTACGATTTAGTGTATTTCCCGAAATCAAACTTATGATTTGGTGTATTTCCCGAAATCAAACTTATGAATTGGCGTATTTCCTGAAATTAAACCCATGATTTGGTGTATTTCCCGAAATTAAACCTATGATTTGGTGTATTTCCCGAAATCAAACTTATGATTTGGTGTATTTCCCGAAATCAAACTTATGATTTGGTGTATTTCCCGAAATTAAACTTATGATTTGGTGTATTTTCCGGAATTAAACCTATGATTTGGTGTATTTCCCGAAATCAAACTTATGATTTGGCGTATTCCCCGAAACCAAATTTATGATTTGGTGTGTTTCTCGAAATTAAATTTGTAATTTGATGTAGTATCCGGAATCAACTATAACGTATTATACGTTTCCTTTTATTTTACGTGGAAACAATCATCATGAATGAAACAGATACGCTAACAAAATATATAAATTTAATAGGGAAAAAGAAAAATACATTAAAAGAGTATTCTTCTTATTAATTTGAAAAAAAGCTAATGTCCGAAATAATTTTTAAAGATTTGAATTAATGTAAAAATTATTTAGAGATGTTTCTTTTTTCTTCAATATATTTTCAGCGTAAACAATGATGATTTGTGAAGTAAATTGACAACCATATTCATCGTGATATCTTAGTTAATGCCTGATACACTTCGGATTATTAATTATGAACAATAAAAATTAGGCTTAATGCTATATTCTCTAACCCATTTTTGAGTTTCAATAATTTTCAAATTTTAATTGATGTAAATTATTTCAACAAATTATAGTGAAAAAAACACTATGGAAGAATAGCCGTGGCATTCAAAATTTATACTAATTAATTAAATTTGAAAAAGAAAGAAAACATATAATAAAATATGATCAAATACTAATTTAATTTCAAAGAAAAAAAATAAAAAATGTGACAAGTGCATTTAACCAGTAGTATTTACGGTTTCGGTTTCAACGGAAAATGTGTCGGTGATAATTGATTTTTTGGAAATTTCATGCCACTTTTACTCTTATCACTTATTCGACGTCCTGTAGCAACGATCGAGAAAACACATAAAACCGCATAACAGATCTGATCAGCCTAAAATAAATTTAAATCTATTAATAACGCAAATATTATAGCTAGATATATGTAAATGCAATTTCCTACATAACACAAATATTATAACTAGATATATGTAAATTCAACATGCAATTTACTAGATGTAACATGCATAGTATCATAAAGTTAAAAATTCAAATGATATCGAGTAATATATTGGTATGATAAATACAGCTATTACATTGATAACAACAACCCAACTTCCTTGTATATATTTTGCTCACATGTTCACGGATTCATAATTAATCAAATTCGGTTAAATTGTTCGCCATTACGGTAGCAAGCAGTTGAACCGTTTGGAAAACCATCATTATACATTGCATATATGCAAGAAATTGATTCTAATGCAGTATTTGCATCAATCACATTAATTTCAGTCTTATTTAATTGTTGTTCCGTGTAATATACAGAAAATACACGATGTAATGATCATGCAATATCGGATGCCTAAATCAACAATTAACAACTACGGCACTCATGCAAACAACAACAACAACAATAATAATAATAACTTCAAAACGATTTTTTCCCACTTTTTTCACTAATATAAATTACATATTCTAACAAATAACCAAATACAAATATTTCAAAACACAGATCGGCCAGTTTTTTTTAAAACTAATCATAGTCATGCACTCATCTCAATCCATCCTTTACATTTAACTGATGTCGTTAATTAACAGCGATAGAAAGGAATGAAATTAAAATTCAAATGAAATCAAAAAAAAAAAAAAAAAAGAAATCATAATATTGACAAATATGCAGAAAACAACAAATTGTTGTCACCGAAGTATACAAATATATCAACCATGTAATAGATGTGCTAACTAAAAGTATTCTATACAACTAAAAAGAAAAAAACAATACATCACGAATTATTATTGGTTAAAAGAAATTCGATAAGTGGATTCTTAAATTTTCATTTCAAAATCTTACCATTTGTGATAAATAACGCCTCTGTATCAATTCATTCTTTTTGCGATCTGCAATTCATAATGAGCATTCATTATCAATAAGGGTAAATTAGTAATACATAAAAATTTTAGGAAAAAGCACTCATTTTAGATGACTAGGCGAAAACTCAAAAAAACTGGAAAGCTCAACAAATATTTATCTTCTCATTCAAAATTTTAAAGTTGCATTTTTGGAATAGAATGAAAGAAATGGAATTGATGAGCCAAGGTGATATTGAAGTATTATGAGATTGATAAGGAATGATATATTTTAACAAAACCTCATTTCATATTTCTGTTTAAAGTTTTCTAATAATCTGAATTATATAATCTAATCTGCTTGACGGTTCTTTCCAAATCCAAAATCATAAATAAAATTGCTTCAAGAAAAGAACTCAAAGTAATAATAATTCACTTAGCGTAGAAACCTTAAAAAACAAATGTTGTAACAATGAAAGATTAAAATTAAACGAATATGACTCATAAGTTTCAAACATTTTGAATTTTATTTTCATAACTATGCGAAGTAGAAAACAGCTTTAAAAATTTGGCATATTCTGTGCAAAAAAGGCAAATTCAAATAAGTAGGAGAAGAAAATAAAAGTTAGGATCGGACATATTTTTTTAAAAAAAAAATGACTTACCATATTCTTCAAGAACAAATAGATTTCCACCAAAGGTATTGCATTTTTTAATATTGCTTAGTTCAATGAAATGCTGAAAGCAATTCAAAAACTGGAATAGACTTTTTCAATACATTGTATAATTTACGAAAAGTATTAAAACTTCGAAACGGAAAAACGGAATGTTAATGCAGCATCATTACCTGTCTCTCTTCGAAAAGCAACGTTATACCATCTATTCGTACTTGTAGTAATCCACCTTGATTTGATTCTATATCCTGAATCGGAAATTCACCACCTAAATCTCGTCCAGGTAATGCAACTTTCCCTCGTATTGCAACTCGTTCCATCGCTTCCTTCATTGTGGTATATAATTCGCGACACTATAATTTTGAAAAAAAAATGAAACAATTTATAATAAAGGCTCCAGAACGAACATTTTCATTCAACTAAAACAAAATCGAATTTCTTTGGTTCATAAACCTAAGAGCACGTCCGTACACGTAAAACACGTAGAATAACCTTTTTTGTGTAAAACTTATGCATATGCACTTTTCCTTCATGTCGCCGCCATAAGCATAAAACACGTGTTTTGGGAGAATACGTTATATTCACTACACGTTCATACCACCATCGTTCCGTGATGGCGCCCGTTACTGCTCGAAGCACCACTGCATCATCATATACCTCAAAAAGTGCTGTAACATTTGAAGAACTACAAACGACCATATGTTATTTCCATGCAAGAATTTCGAAAGGAAAAAAGCCAAAATCAAAATTAAAACCAAATTAAGTATCTTTATAAAGGTGAAAGAAAAATCAGCTACTACTATGTATGAATAGAATTCCAATACTTTGCTCGTAAATTTTAAATCTAATTAGACTGAAAAAATTTGAGTTTGACTCTAGTTTACCTCCACAAACATCAATGGATCTTGCGCTGTAGTTCCTTCATGAACAGTAAACGATTGTTTTTGAATAAGACGACTTCCGAGCGGTTTCAACGGTATCCCATTGCTTTGCTAAAACTAGAGGCTTCCACGGCAGTTATGATTGTGAAATATAACTTTGATAAGATAAATTAAAAATAGTTGCAAATTTTTTGATTACGACTATTCATTCAAATGATCAAACGAAAAACTTCCCAAAGTGATTTGAAAAGTTAATTATCAAATTTGTTCCAATTCATTCATTAATTAAATTGTCAGTGATTAAATTGATGCTAAAGCAGAGTGGTAAAGAAAAAATAAAGCATATAATCTCAAATACTGACAGTTTTTGGAAGATCATCCAACAGTTGATTGATTGTTTTTGAATAAACCAAACCAATATGAGTTTTACCTAATAATCGTCGTATTTTCTGAAATTTAACCCAAATTTTAATTTATAGATATTTTAAAAAATTTGAACGATTATTTAGGTGATATAAAGATTTATCATATTAACCCTCAAAACTATCTGGTCGTTTAGTGCAACGCATTTTTTATTGTGGCAGCACGACCGAATTTCAATTATGGCTTGTTATCGTTTGACCTCCTACAAAGAGGCTTACAATACGAAGCATTAAACCGTTCCGTTTCAATTTCATCTTTTAATTTCATCTAAAGACCATAAAATTTGAAGAAAATTCAATGTAAAAACAAGAGATAATGATAAACAAGTAAAAAAGGTTTTTGTCCTGAAATTATTAATTGTTAATTAATTGATTGTTTGTAATTTATTTGTTGATTGCTTATAAATAGCAAACAAAATTTCTTCTATTAGATACATTTTTTTCCCATATTTAAAACATGTAGAAATATATCAGAAGAACAAATTATGACCTGTTGGACAATTCGTTGACCACCACCGCACATAATCATATAAGATGTTAAATTATGAAGTAATGTAGATAAGAGATGATCCTCGTCTAATTCTAGACGACGCTTTTCAGATTCTGACAAACTACAATATCTATCAATCATTTCACATGGTTCTTGATCCATTCCTATAATATCGCGTTCTTGTGCCACCACGTCGAAAAATGCATTTTCCCAAAAATCCATCTTTTGCCATAACGGATTCGGCGAAGGTACTGAATAAACATTTATATAATTAATGATATTTACCGAAATAGTGGACGAATTTATATCGGAATCAACCAAATTTCTCTTTTTATTTTTTTAATAGATTAAATTCACTGATACGATGTGATAATGAACAACTGCTATGATCTCACTGCTAGGCGATCACAATTATAACTGCCTTTATCAATTTACTTCAAATTTCCTGAAATATGCTTCAGCATGCTTATAAACTATCTTAGCGTTGAACTCTTCTGTAATACAGTAAAGCATTCGGGTGGTATTTAATGGTTTTCGAAATATAGCTAAAATAGAAATTGGATCGAAAAAGTAAGATGAATTAAAATAATTAAATGAAAATATCACATATCAAGTCCTGATAAATGAAATGCCGAATTGATTTTATGTCAGATGAAATACGTGATAAAGCTGTTGAATCGATTGACAAACTATCCGGTGGATGTAGATGAAGACAGGATTTCTGAAAGATAAACTATACGATTTTTTGCAGTGGAAATTTCAAGTTTAACTGCAATGTTGGAATGAAATAAATGTACCGTTGACTTCCAATTAAAAGACTGAAATTTACAATTAGTTATATAGAAATAATTATCCTTTTATTATGATCGAAAAATTAATCTGATAACAGATAACAAAAATAAAAATGAAAACTTTAGAAGCCTAATGTCTTCAAATATTTCCAAATAGTACAAAAAAATATTTCGCAGTAATAAAACCAGCTATGTTTGTAAACAAGCTTACAATGGTTGAACTGAATGATGAATGTCGAGATGAAGTTGAATTTGTTTCTGTTTTATTATCTCGATCCAACTTTGATTCGGAACTTTTGATGTCAGACAAAATATTATTTGCCTTCGTTACTTTTTCCAAATTTTTTGGCTGGACATTGGGTTTCGACACTGACTGCCTATTATCAGATATACTTTGACGAACTACTACCGGTCGTGGTGGAAGTGGTGGTGGTGGACCAGTAGCTGAAAAATGATAACAACAAATAACTCTAATGTAACAAGTAAATATAGTGAAATTTATTTATTAATCATTTTGTAGATTATAGAAAAAATCATCAGGGAATTGTTTACACCATTTTAGATATCATTTTTCAAATCTCTGAAACTCTAAGCCATTCAAAGTTTGAATTATCAATCAATTAAGAAAAATAACCTAAACTTAAAAATCGAATTTTGTGCAACAACTTACGTAATACAATTTCATGTGTTTCATGAGAATTACGTGGTGGAATGGGTGGTTTAGAAGTTTGATTCACAGATAATGGTAGCGATGGCGGTGGTACGATCGGAATTGGTAGTGGAAGTGATGGTGACGAAATGTCATGTTGCTGTCGCCGTACATCATATGATGATGAGGAGGGAGTATTAAGCTAAAGATAAAAAGACATTATATTTAAATTCATACAAATTTAAATGTTGATTATAGAACTGCCCGAGATATATAAATCATCATATGCGTAACAATAACTTCTCGAAAGTACACAACAAGGTACACTTAGGAATAAGAAAGAAAAAAAGACTCGATAATAAAGTCTCAAAGTAAATCTGATGCTATCTTTGAATTCTCTGAAGAGAAGATATCTTTTACCAAGCTTCCGGATGCACTTGGTGGTGATAATACTTCGGTCTCTTTTGTCCAATAATGAGAATGAGCTATTTCAAGTATGTGAAATAATGAGGCAAGGCCATTAGAACCAGGTGAGTTATATGAATACTCCAGACCAACAATACATGTTTGCAATGCTTTCAAATATCCCTTATATTGATTTCGAGTTAGTTGCTGAAAATTTTTTCAAATAATATAACAAAAATTTATTTCCTATAAAATTATGTTAGTTACAATTCATAGTTCTTCGACTTACAGTACAGTACGTTAGCTTATCGTATTGTATGTTGTAAAAGTTTTAAAAACTTTCGACTTTGATAACATTTAGAAGTAAGACAAAAAAGAGGAAAATTTTTTGGCAAGTTTTATTTACCACATCTTGTATAAAGTCGTCTTCAAAATGTTGTACATCAAGGCCAAGATTTAATTTGGAACAAACAAGTTGCCTCAAACTTTCATCTTCCATTAAACGCTTTAATTTTGGATATGTGAAAACGCCAACTCCTTGACCAGCTAGGATTTGATCGCATATTTCACGAACAACTTGTTGATTTTTGCTGAATCATTCGTTAAATTAACATTTGCAAAATGGAAGGAAAACAAAAACAAAACATCAAAATCAAATGAAGGATAGTTATCTATTAATTATCATTTATCGATTATCAAGCATTATAACCTTTAAATTGTTTAAATCATTTAACTTAAACATTAATTTCTAGTTCAAAGAAAACGATGAGGGTACTATCATACTAGTAAGGACCAAATGATTAGATTTTTTTTTTCAATGCTTTAATTAATGGATGGATAAATGAAAGAGTTTGATGGCTGATATTGATAACCTTTGATAAATGGATTCTATCCCGCTATGTAATTGCACTATCATTCAAATTAAAAAAAATTGACTTTTCCTTCTAAATCAATCAATCAATATTCTAAATCAATTTTTTCCAACCAATTGTTTTTCCAAATACAAAATTAATGAAAAATAGAAGTGAACCTTTGCTGTGCAGCAGCATTAGTATTTCTGTTGCCAATCATGCTACTTCTTGTCATTACAAGATGTTGGCTTTGCTCTACTCGGTTTGCTGCAGCCAAAGCAATCGGACGAACAGCTTTATCTCGTATAGCTTGGGCTTTAGGAGTTGTACGATTTAAAACCTGCAATAAAACGAAGAAATATTACAATGATTGGAAATAATCTTCTACCTTTTTCATTAACGGCAATAGTTGTATAAAATGCAAAATGGAATAAAAATTAGTCTGTTCAATATTCTAATTTACTTCTTTGGATTCACATCATTCTATAATAAAGAATGAATGGAATAATGAACCTGATTTAACATATCATGGCTTCTCTCCGCGTATCCATTAAGTGCATTCATGAATTGTGGTCCAAGAACTTTTTCACCTGAATCTGCTAAATGAGCCAAACCCTGTAAGCATATGTTACATATACATTTTTATACATATATAATTTCTGCAAAAATGATTCAAGTGTTCTGTGGATGATATCAAACTTTGAAGTATCAATATTTGCCCAAATGAATTACCAACCTTAATACCAGCTACTTTTAATGGTGGTGCCTTGTTGGTTGTTGTAGTGGTTGAACTTGCGAATTGTGATGATAATGATTGACGATCGTTTAATGGAGTAGATTCATTCGAAGGATTAAATGAGAAGTCACCCTTAATGAATTAAATGAATTTAAATTAAATACAAAAATGTGCATGATAAATTTAAATGCATTTATATCGAACAACTTTTAGAATTTACCTTGCTATCCGATTTCAATGCCAAATTCTCGGCAAGCCTTGCAAAATCAGCCTCACTATCCATTGCTGATGTCGAAATTGATGAAGATGGTGTAGATCTGAAAATATACATTAGAAGACATAATAATTTCATAAACAATTTGCTACATCCAATAATCATCATTGATTCAGTATACAACAAAATTTAAAATAAATTTAACTTACCGGCCACTGCTCGTCGAACTATTAACTGATTGTACACTTTCACTTCTCGGAATAGCTAATGTTAATGGCTCCTTATAAACATCGTCTACCTCTCCAAGTGGTTTTGCTGCTCCTGAAAATGAAATAAAAAGTTTTCCAGTTTCATGATTCTCCAAGATAAACTTACTTTCAATTTAAATACAATTAAGAAAAAATGACAGAATATCCAAATTACTACCTGAATTTAATTAAAGGATTGAATTTATTTTGGTATAAAAGTAAATAGCTCAAACAAAAATGCTTACTATACAAAAATCTATGGCTCAAAAAACTAAATTATTAAATGAACATTGAATATTGGATAGCATAACCGTCCATGGCGTATATAGTATCTTCTGATATATATAGTATATATATAGTATTTTCAGAAGATATTACAAACAGTATCTTTTGAAAATTTTCTGAAGCTGATGACATCAATTTAATTAGATTAGATTTTCGGTTAAATTTACTCGTTCACTGAATGATGAAAGATGGAATTTAATCATACCGACAGATGTTTCCGCTTGATCAGGCGTATCGAATAGAAGATCATCGATACTGGATAAGCTTTCACCATCAGTATTTTCAGTATCGCTTACTTCATCGCCGTTTGAATCTGTAACAAAGCATATTGATTACGCAAATGAAAATAACTCAAAGTGATTTTTCATCACTGTTGGTTGATGAAAAATAATAATTACATTAATTAATTTAGTGATAATTAACGGCTAAAAGTTAATTTATGCTTCTAATTTAATGAATAAATTTTTTGAGATATCTTCAATAAATTTAAAATTAATGAAAGTATTACCTGTCATACTGTTTTGCCGTTCGTCTACAACTTCTCTCCATACATCAACAAGCATCGAATCGTTCGAATATACCTGAAAAATGACTTCGAACTTTTTCATCCTTCTTTTAGAACTATTCTTCTATCATTGTCTTCGTGTATATCTCATTTAGATCTGCCTTTTTCTCCATGTATTACCTCAATATTCATGAATCATTTTCAAGCCAAGTTCCGTAAAAAAACCCTTCTTTCTAATGTCTCTTAATGAAACTAACCAAAAGCAAATGTATGTCAAATTTTTCTAAACATAAAAAACAAATGCGGAAAGTAACAAACAGTGAAATGGACAGGCATTAGTGATTCGTTGAACCATTTTCCCTTATCGCCAATTTGTTTTGGATCATCTGTTCCAGCCTGTACTCGTACGTATGTTTCGTTATGTGGGCATAAGGAACACTCAGCAAAATATTCCACCGCTTGGGTTCTGAATTAATTATTTAAAACAAAAAGTAAAGTGATCAAATTTTTTTGCAAACTTTATGACAAGAGAGGAGAGTTGAAAAGAAAATGTTTTGAGAATTTAAAATTTTAAGGGGAAAAAAGGCCGTGAAATACTTTTCTCGGTAAATTTCATAAAATTGAATTGGATTTTCAAAAGTTGATCAGAAAGTTATTATGCACTATCGATAATGATGATTCATGTAATGCTATACTACTAACCTGCAAAGTTGCGCGATAAATTGTGTAAATTGTGGACGGCTACGTAAGAAAGATTCGGTTTGAAGTGCAACAACTGGTCGTGGATAAAGGCGTAGCGTACGTGTATGTTCACAGAAATTTGCAAATACATTCGCACTATTAAAAAAGCGAATCTGAAAATAAAAACAAATTTGAAATTAATGAAACAATTACCAAAAATATTTCTAAATTAGCAATGATGAATGAATAACAAACCATGGCAACACGAACATCAATATCAACAATATCACTATCTAATGTGTAATCCGTTTCAACGTTTTCAGCATTTCTCGATTCCATTTCTAATATATTTAGCAATAATTTGTCCAATGATTTTTGTAAACTATTCTGAAAAATATTTTTTAAAAATCATTATTATTATTATTATTATTATTATTATTATTATTATGAAGACTAAATATCAATAATCATTTTAAATGAAATGAAATCTAATTCAGTTTTAATAATAACCTTTAATTCAGTGCAATCTGGTTCCGGCATATCAGGAATACTAATATCATCTGGTATCAACAATTGATTCATATCAAGATCAACAACAATAACATCATTTGGTATATCAATCGCTTTATGAGCAAAAAATGATGCTGGTACTCCTATTACGAATGGTGTCGGTGCATATAATAACTAAAATATGAAATTAAATACTGGAAATAATTAAGCGTCAAAAAAATAATAATAATTAGGAAGTAATTAAGATCACAAATATGCCAATGAATATTTCAACACTTTCGACGTCCCAATGAATATACCAATAAATCATACAAATGTTAAAAATACTATATATACGTAAACATCTCTAATAAATAATAAATAAGTACTTAAAGCAATACAATGATTTCTAAACTATGATAAATTGATAAAATCAATATATTGTTATTTTAATAATTATAAAGAGATACATTCAATCATATATTTTAATTTAAAAATTTTAAAGAATTTCAATGATATATTAATTTATTTTATATCAATTGTAAATAATTTTAAAAGTTTCTTTTGCATTAAAGATAAAAAGTTTAGATCGAATTTTGATTTATACATCATTATTATAAATTTTAATTTAATTTATTTTATTTCAACAAAATTCCATTATCATGATTATCATTTATCATCATCAATCAGTACGAACAATACCTTATCTTTTCATTTTCTCTATTTACAACAGTTGTTAAAATCTTTATGATTACTGTATATTCAAAATGGATAATTTTAAAATACTGATAGTTAAATTGCGTATGAAATTTAAATTACAAATCATATAGTTGGAAATGAATTTTTGTATATAAATTAAAGAGAAAAGAAATATTTGAAAAATTCAACAGGAAAAATATACTTGTTCAGCTGATGGCATAAAAGATGGAAGTAAAGGTATAACTGGAAACATATATTCCAATGGATACATTAATGCAACAAGTGCTAATACACACATACTAACCGCGTTGTAATTTCGTGATTGTAAAACAACCTGTAAAATAAACTATTATCAAAATTATCATTTAACTTCCTCATAAAAAAAAAGAGATTTCGAATGAATCATATTGAAAATAATTAATTCAAATAATTAATAAGATTAAATTATTTGATTATTTTAGATTAAATTAAAATGAAAATTTGGTAATTTAAATGAATCAATTAATTATTGATAAAAATTTATCAACTAATTATTTCCTGATTCTAAATTTTTGAAATTTTCTCGAACGCAATAATTTTTTTATACCTTTGATTCAAGCATTATAGCAGCCATAACTTTTATAGCTGTATCAATTCCAAGAAGTTCAAGAGGTAAATGAAGTGGAAAATCAACAAAAGAAAATCGTGTATGATCCGGTAAAGCGAATTCAAAAGTTGGCAAAATATTTGTTGGTAACACCTTAAAAATTGCACGTAAATTTATCGATCAATTACAAATCTATAATATAAAATTAATTAGAGAAATAAGATAAATTTCCTGTAAATTTAAATTTACTACATCTAATAAATTTTTAATTTTAAAAATTAAATGCAAATTTTCCATTTCAATAATAAATATTTTAATATGCAAAAGCAAAAAAAAAAAGGATAAATTCAACGAAACACTTACCTCCAAAAGTATTTTAGTTTTTCCTGGAACAGCAACTGGTGCACTTAATAGCATTAGAATCCATGTTTCCAATTCTCGAATATCCTGCATTACGCGGGGTGGAATTGGTTCCGTCCAACAACCCGTAAGTGTTGCCCAAATTATATCTCTAAAATCAATATATTAAGCATAAATGATAAAAATATTTTTGAGAAAGTTAGAAAGAGAAAAATCGGTAGATATTTAATAAAAAATTTTAGATGAAAAATAAGAGAATTGATTTACTTTGAATATTGTCCATCTTTGCTAAGTCTTTGGCTACAACCATCGATCAATTTCTTCAATAATAATAACAATTCGCGAAATGTGGAAAGAAATGGATGATGGCTTATTAAGCATAAGCTTGTTAATGAAAGCCTTTGATCCAACCTGTAATAACGTTTTTACGATCGATTTCTGCGAGACTTCCACAAAATGTTACCTGAAAACCTACGCAAAATGGTAACAGCGGATAGGACAAGGCGATAATTTCCGGATGTTTCAAAATAAGCCAAAAAGATATACGTATTTTTTTTTTTTTGGCCAGCTAATACTAAACAAATTCCCAATTAGTTTTATAAATTATTTCAATTTTCATTTCTTCTCCATTATTAGATTTGTTTGCATAAATGATAATTAAATGAACCTTTTATGAGAACGATTATTGCCCAAAATGTTTTTATCATCTGCCGATACAGGACGATTCTTTTCGTAACTTTGTAAGAAATTCAAACAAATGCCATATCGAATTTTTGCTGAATCTTTCTCTGTCAACGTGAACACAAAAGTGGTTGTTGCACGATGAGAATGTGAATGTCGTGGTACTTCTATAAATTAGTATCCGTAGTATCCGTAAATATGTAAACAATAATTAGCCAATAAAATTCATGAAAACTGTGATATTTCTATAAAACAATATCCGTAAAAACACAAACAGCAAAATTCATGAAACGAAATTTGTATGTGTTCGTGAATTGTATTTTTTCAACATTATTCATATCGGGATGAACAAAAGTTCTGTGCAAAATCTAATTTTAATGAATTCATTTTTTTTCTGAATTTTCGACATTTCTTTTTAAAATGATTAACTTAACAAACAAACCTTTTGTGATACATCCTTCTGGTTGACAAAATACAGTAACATCGGTTGGCAAATAAAAATCCTTGTGATCATTATTTGGATAACGCCTCAATAATTCAGGTGTTGTAATACTTTGTGATGTTGATGATTGTGATATATCACTAATATTAGGCTGTGATATATACTTTCCGCGACGTCGACCAACTATTACCTGAAAATTTTCATTATTAAATTGTTCGAAAAACTTAAATGAATCTATAATTATTGATAAAAGTTTGAAAAAAAGAATTAGTAATGAGTTATTGTTAATCAAAATTATCACTGAGCTATCAGTGATAAGGAAAAGTTTTTTTTCTCGAAACTAATATATTGAAAAACGAGAATATATCGAAATATTTGTTAAATTTTGCATAAAGTTTGAGAAGGAACTTTAAATTTACATAGAAAATTTAATAAGATTTTCCGGAAAAAGAAAAACGAAATATACCAAATAGTCAATCAAGCGTGGACAAAGTTCTTTTCCTTTATCATCCATTTGACATGATTGATATAATAAACAATTTACGAAATGAATCCAATTATTTTGTCTGCAAGAAATAGCAACATTTCAGTATCAATAGTAATGAAAGTAATGACAATAATAATTAATAATAATAATAACAATAATAATAGCAATATTAATAATAATAGATAGCAATAATAATAATAATAATAATAATAATAAATAATTATGATAATAAATAATGATAACAACAATAGATTAATAATTTAATCATAAATTTTCAAAAAGATTAGCAAAAATAGCAATGGTGGAGTAAAAAGATTGAAAATAGGAAAACGAGTATTGACGGATTAATGATACCAAAATTTATTCTTGAGCAGTCTAAATTTAATTAAATGAGTTAGACAAATTAAATTTAATTAAACAAGAAAATGCTAATAGTGAAATTTTGCTATAAAATAGAAATTTCATTAAATGGGAAATTGTTGAAAATTTCCTACAACCTCCAACAATTTCCTACAAATTTGAAAAAAAAAAAAAACAAAATGCGTTATAAATTATTTTATTTATTATCGATATATTTCTCTAAAATATTTCTTCTAATTTCTTTTGTTTATTAATTATTTTCTTTTTGAATAATATATAATACGAAAATTTGTTAGATTTAGAAAATGTGTAATATTGCAAATTACCACCTAGTAGGATAATTAAAAATATTAAATTATATGGTAATTAAAAAATTAACTTATCACATGTAACAATATGCATGTGATAAATTAAATTTCTTCTAAACATTACGTCATCGTAGTATGTAATAAGCATTTATTAGTACGCTAATTAAAAATATAACAAAAAAAACAATATATGTATGAAATAATTAAAATTTTTCATAAACATATTATGATCTAATTTTTTGAATGATAATTTTTATAATATGAGATGAAATTAAATGAAATTAGGGTGTAAAATGAGTAAATATTACAGTGTCAATCAATACATTTCATATTGTTTTAAAAAAATGTTTAATTAAAAAAAAAAGGTTTAATTAAAAATAAATTTTAACGAACACAACAAATAACTTCCTTATATTATTATTTCATGCAAAAATATTCTTTACTCATAAAATTTTAATAATTTTAATTTTTTTCAAAAAATGGAACTCTTATTTTTCCATTCGTAAATTTTGCAAGGTGTATTTTTCTAAAAATGTGAAAAGAGTGAGAAATAATTAATTAATAAAAGAAATGAGTTAAATAATACATTAATCCTATGAATAATACACCTGGCTTTTTGGATAAATTCAATGAATATACACCTGGTAATGAGATAAATTCAATTATCAAAGTGATACAAACAGTTAGAGTTAGCTAAATTGAAATGAATAAAAGTGATTGTGCGATGATAATTGTTGTACAGGTGTATCAATATGGATGATGCAAACTATTAAAATTTTATTTGAAATGTAATTTCTTTTTCATTAAACAAAAAAAAATATTTTATAATTAAAGTTAATTAATTAGTGTATCGGTGGGAGAAAAAAGAAATGAATTTGGAAATTGTTTATCGATGGTTTAATTTACAGCTTTCTTTTTTTTCAGCTAAATTTTAGAATTAATTTTAAATTAAAAAAATTGAGAGAGGAATATTTGGAAAATTCTACTTGATTATTTTTTTCGTCTTATTATGATGATAGAATGAGAAATAATGATAAAATTAGAAATCACTATTATCATTAACACTGCTTACTATTATTATGCTATCATTATTATTATCATTATCACTATCATTTCTATCGTCATTATTATCACCATGATTATTATTATCATTATGATTATTATTATTATTATTATTATTATTATTATTATTATTATTATCATTAATTATTATTACTAACAATAACACACTAGTATTCTAAAACGAATAATAATGACAAATAATAATAATAATAATAATAATAATAATAATAATAATAGTAGTCATAATAATAATAATAATAATAATAATAATAATAATAATAATAATAATAATAATAATAATAATAATAACAGTAGTAGTCATAATAATAATAATAGTAAATAATAATAAATAATAATAATAGTAATTATAATAATAATCATAATAATAATAATAATAATAATAACGATAATAATCATAACAACAATATTGATAGTGATAATCGTGCGATGATCATGGTGATAATAACAATGTTGATAATAGTAATAAAACTAATGAAATCATCAAGAGTAAAAAGATCTAAAAAGTGATATAAGGATGATTGTTTACGGAATGTAGAAGAAGTAAGAGAATCAATATTAGAAAAAGGTTGATTAAATCTTCGTAAGATGAGAGATGAAAAAGAGAAGAAGGTTGAAGAGAGAGAGAGAGAGAGAGAGAGAGAAAATGGATAAAATGGATAAAATGGAAGAATATATTACGAAGTGAAATTTCCAGCAATTTTAGACTGGAAAAAGTTATATGCGATAAGATATAAAAACAAATAAGCAATGAATGAAAAAGGGAAGGGATGGAAAAATTTATGAAAATATAGGCAAAGCAAGAAAAGGAAACAGATGACGTTAAGGCATCGATGTTTGCTTTTATTGGTTTCGATCCATTCAAGGCACTCATTCCATCATCTTTCTCTTCACTTTCAAAGTATCCCAACCACTTTCCATCCCTATCCCCCCTGATTATTTACTCCCCGACTCTTCTTTTCATTATAGGCCTTATACAAGGACCAAACTCATCCAAAAAAGTAAAATGTGAAGTAATCTCTACACCTGTATATATATATGTATGTGTGTGTATGTGTGTCTGTGTAAGTGGAACATATATGTATATGTGTGCGGATATGCTTGCTTTTAAAAACCTAAAATTATGATACAGAAAGATATTATTTCGCCCCTCATATGTATATATATTTCATTTTATCCATTTTCAATATATCGATCACATACTTCTCACCGACTATACTTATCTTTCTTTTCTTTCGTTGATTGAAATTATGAAAAAATAAGTTATTCCAAATAATGAAAAATATTACGATATTTATTTTTTCTTAATTTCAAAAATTTAATATTGAAATCAAAAAGGAAAATTCTGAGTAATACAAATGAATCATTTCTTCTCATATTGAAATTGCTGACAAACAAAATTCTTGACAGCTATTTAATTCCAATTTAGGTATTATGTACTTTAATTCGTTTTTTTTTCTCTCTTTTTTTGCTAATATATTTCCTCGGAAACAAAACGGTATCAGAATATATTAATTTTACATTTATATTTCAGGTATGATCGTTAAATATATTTAGGACATTTGTTTTAACGCAAAACATATTAATTAACATATTGCATTATAAAATAATATTATTAATATATAATTAAATATAAATGATTTTACGGTTTTTTGATACATAAGTAAATATAAAACTTCGTG